TTTTTTCAAATATCTTTGGTAGTTACAACATTAATAAGGATAGAATGATCCTTTTAACTCCTAAAATGGCTATATTTCATTTTTTTTTTAACATGGCTATATTTTATTTTTTTCTTAAAAAAAGTGCTAGAAAACCCGGGCTCTGAAAAGATATCAACATTGTTATCAAAACCGGACCGAACCGGCCGGTTCGACCGGTTGGACCGGGAACCGGACCTAGTACCGGTCCGGTTTGCATGTTTAGCCCGATGGGAACAAGAACCGGTATCGAACCGGTCGAACCGGTTCAAAACCGGTGAACCGGAACCGATTAGACCGGTCGAACCGGTTCTGAAAATTAAAAAAAAAAAACTTAATGAAAAAAAAATAAAAAATATTGATTATGGTATACTATACTTAAAAAATTGTTTAGTGAACTTTATTTAGTATTGTTTATGGTAAACTATACTTAAAATATTGATTTTTCAACTCTTATTTAGAAAAATATCATTATATGCTATAAAATTAATGATAAATATATATATAATTATGTATTATACATATAAAATAAATAAATAAATAAATTATATATTAGTTAAACCGGTTGAACCGGTTCGACCACTGGTCCGACCATTGAACCAGTAGCTTCACTGGTTCGATGACCGGTCCAGTTTTGACAACATTGGATATCAGTGAAGAATAGGTATACCATAATTAGAAAGTCCAAAAATTCGCTTTCCGATTGCCCTCTTTCTTGTCCCAATTAGGGTTCTTAAGAGCACACATTTCTGCGCACAAGACAACTGACACTCGAATTTCTCAAATTCTTCATTGTTGGAACCATGGAGGACCGTAAATAGTTGAGGAGATGTAGCTATTGTGTAAATTTGTGTAATTTTTAACAGGAAAATCCTCTGTTTGGTAGATCAATGGGTCGCTCCCGTGGAAATTTTCATGCCGAAGAAGATCCTAGCCAGAGGTTTGTGTTTTCTTCTGTCTTTTTGCCTTTTTGGAGCGCCGTTTTTCGTGCTCGTCCTGCATTTAGCTTAAGATTAAGTTGCACATTGTGTTTGTTGTTTTATGCTAGCTGCATTTCAAATGGTCAATCAGTAATGGCTCAATTTTTTCTTGATTAGACTGTAGAATCTTGTTTCTTTCTTGTTTTCTGATGGGTTTTTGTTATTGTTGTTGTATATTCAGTTTAGTTAGCTAGCTGAAGCCAGTGGCTGGTTAACAGTTACAGTGACTGCTAAGAGATCAAAAGTACATGTCTGGGAAAAGGGTAAATGAAGCAATTTGGGGTGTGGGATAAAATTGCTTCTTTTTTTGTTTTCACTTACTTTTCCGAATATATTTATCTGTGTTACTGTTGTGCGAGCATGCTCCTGTCATGCATCATGATGGGTAACGTGAGTGTGCGTAGGATTTTTTGTTATTGGTTTAATTTTCAGAGTGTGGTTTCTGTTTGCATTTTCATTTTTAAGAGTTTTCTCTCTCTGTATGTGCACGGTGTGTGAACTTTGGATTCAAGATTTTGCACCATCAAGATTGATTTATCTTTAGCATGATGTGCAGTTCTGCTTCTTATTCTATCATGCGATTTATTTCTTTTGATTCTTGCTTTGCGGCACTGGTTGATGTGGGTAAATCGTATCTTGTGAAAATTTCTTTTTCCCTCAGTGCAATTAGTCAGAACTTGTTTCTTGTGTTACTTCTGTTATTTCTTTGGAATATAATGCCTTTTTTCAGATCAAGAAGAAAAAAGAATGCATCAAGTGGAGAAAATTTAGAATCTGTTACAGCAGGTAATCTGTCTTCTGTTAAAAGTTGCATTACCATTAGTGGCTACCATAAAATTAACTTTGCAGCATATAATTTGTGTTAAAATTAGATGAATACGGTAATTATCCGACTTGAGTCAAACATTGTCTTGATGTTTTATGCCATCTTTATAATTTTTGGTTATTAGTAGTCGCGCTCTGTCTTACTCTGATTGGTACCTTTAATTTTTGGTTGTTTTAGGTCAAGGGACTGGTGATGGAAAAGGTGCATTATACCATTGTAACTATTGCAACAAGGACATTACAGGGAGGATTCGTATAAAATGTGCTGTATGTTCGGACTTTGACTTGTGTGTGGAGTGTTTTTCAGTAGGTGGTGAGGTTCATCCTCACAAAAATGGTCATCCATATCGGGTTATGGTGAGTAATTTATCCGGAGCTATCTATCTAAATTTAGCCATTATTCTCTCAGATATATTTATTGATTATATGCTTCACCTTCTTCGGTTTCTTTTTTTTTTTTTTT